AGAACAAGATGATACTGGTGCGCATGAACCACCGTGAGTTGACCACCGAGTCAAACAGTAGTAAACTTTCCATCATTCGGTTCTGTAGCCGTTAGTACACGGCATTGAGTGGGAGACATGGCTTCGTGGGATGACGTACCTGACTGCTCTCCTCCAGCAAAACTTGGTCGTACTCGCTAAGGGCAACGCAGAAAATAATTGAAGTGACATTTTCGAAGCAATGAATCCACTTCTTTCTCTCACTTCTTTGACCGCCAACATCAAACATGCTGTAGAAATTGTTAGCATTTGTAAAGTGCGCACAGTCGATCACAGAGCCTCACTGTATGCTGAGTTGTCCCATCTGAAATCTTGTCTCGTAGATACCAGTCGTCTTCGTTCTGGCTCTGAGAACATCCATTTCGTTCGGGAGGTAGTCTGGTGCTACGATCCGCATGACCTCCTGGAAGAAGCTGTCGCCATCTTGTTAGCGTTTCTTGCCCTGACATCCCAAGTGTCCAATTGAGCACACTTACTACTCTGCAGAGTCCATCAAGTAGAACTCAGTCTGCCTCTCCATGAGCTGTTCCCTTGCGGGGTCGCTCCATATTGACTGGATGGCGATGCCAATCTGGGGATCGATGTGTGCTTGGGGGCCAGATTCGGCTGTGTATTCCATGAGGAAAGTGGCATACGCCTTGTTCTCTTCGATTACCGGTTCGATGTCGAATTGTCGCATGGCCTGGATCACTGCTTTTGCGCATTCCACCAGGTTCTTGAACACGGTCGGGCGATAGTTGTACAGTTCATCTTCCGAATAGCCCTTCAAATGGATGATCTTCATCTGCTTCACTATCGTGGATTTACCACTTTCTCCGGATCCTGCGTGGTTGTCAGCAAGTCGGCTCCCCATCGAGATCCCTCAGGATTGAACTCTGGCGTCAAAACCTACCGAGCAAGAGAATCTTGCATTCCCGGCGTAACCTCTTCGAGTCCTCCTCTAGTTGTCGGTCGATTGCCTGACTCTTCTTTTTCTGTTCCACCTCCTCATTGTTTGAGCTCATACAGGCACCCATTTTCCAGAAAGGTCGAGGCTTCGAGGAAGCCGCTGACGGGAAGAATAATGGGATTTGGGTGCGGTAAATATTCGAGTGCAGGGCTCGTCGAGCCGTCGAATTGATTAAACCGCGCGTGAGGTCCCGAATGAATGCACGTTAAATGCCCATAGCAGTATTAGATAACGCTGGCGAGAAGAAAATTAATGGCGAGGCTGAGATGGATCGCAGGGCGTCGTCGATTGGTAGTGATGGTCGTTTGGCGTCGGCGGTAACGTAGGCGTTTCGGATCAGAAGGCTGAGAGAGAGAGGACACAGCGACGGCGAGGATCGAAACCGAGAGCGGTGAGTTGTTGGAAATGTTTATCGGACGGAATGAGGATGGACGGATGATGAGCGACGACCCTGAAGATCGGGGATGGGCGGGAGCTGTCGAGGGAGATGGGTAGCGAAGGACGGAAGACGAAAGTACAACCGGGAAGGCGGGCAAGGACAGTGTCGGAGGAATAAATGTGGGTATCACCAGGAACTCGACAGGCGGGCGGGTAAGTGCAATTGGGTACGGGCCCAAGCTAAGGTAAGCACCGATGTACCTTTGGTATCGAGAGCGACACCTTGGGTACCTTTGGGAGTACCTTGGCAGCGAGAGAGCGTACCTATTGCGTGAAGAGGTTGCCCGGATGGGTGGGTATATGGGTAGGAGACCTGGAGACCTGAGCCTTGTAAGACTGAGATCAGAGAGAGATGGTAATTTGGTAATGGAAGGTGATACGGATAGACAGCCTGGGTGTGACAAGAAAGCGCGTTCGGCCCAGGGAATGAATGTGACAAGAGATCAGGCCGTCCTGGCGGTTCGGATCTGATCTGTCAAGTGACGAAGGGGAATGAACTGTGAGGGAGATCGGAAAAAGAAAAGCAGGACAGAAGACTGGAAACGAGTTGGAGGGTAGGAGAGGGCCAGTGAGGAGAGCAGGTGTGGGTAAGAGGAAAAGGAATTCTGTCGTGCGGGAAAGTGTAAAGTTGATGCTAGTGGCAGGCTGGACTTCGTGGAGTCGCAGAGAAAGCAGTGGTATCGATGGACAGGTACCTCTGCACTACAATCTACGGATACGGATACCTCTTCCGCTACCTCTCCCTCTACCTCACGATGTAAGGTACTTACGGCACTGACTGCAAGAAGTGAGAGGATCAGAGAGACGGGGAGAAATGGGCGAGGCAAGGCACACACACACGCACACACGTCCCCCAATCCCATACGCAGTCAGCTCAGACAATCAGACCCATCCGGCCCAGACACCAACCACCCGCCCTCCCTTCCCGTCGGGGTCCCTTCAATCCTCAGTGCCTCAGTGCTCACTCCTCAGGTATGCGGCGGCATGGGTGACAGGGACACGTTCCCAGCGCAGAACTAAGTGGTGCAGCTGGCCCCGGCAAAGTTGGCAAGGCAAGGCCAGGGCGGCGGGGTGCGGGTGCGCGTGTGGTGTGTGGATCTGGATATGTATGGGTCTTGTCTCTTATGTAGTGAGCGAGGAGAGAGAGAGAGAGAGAGCGTGTGTGTGTGTGTGTGTGTGTGTGTGTGTGTGTGGACGGACTCGGCCTATGCCACCCGCGGACAGCTTCTTCAATCGACTTGGACAGGTCTTGGCCTGCCGGAGAGGGAACAGGCCGAGCAGGGAGTAGCCGGGAGAGGTATGCAGTGCTGATGGTGTAGAGACGTGCGAGGTTGCGGCGTGTGGCGGGAGGAGAACAGACAGGAGCGAGTGTACCCAAGGTAAGGTGGTTAGTTATCCACGTCCATTGCTCAGCTTGCTGAGGCACAATTGAACGCAGGCTGACTAGTTGTGGGTGAGTGTATCTATGTGAGGTGGATGGAAGGCATCGGCCACTTGTGGCTTGTTGGTGGACGGGATGCTTGGAACTAGCACATGGCCGTATCCGTAGGTACTAGGTAAGTAAGGTAGGCAAGCTCAGAAACCTTCAGGTGCAAGGCACGAGCTGATGATGACGGACCAGGGCTTCGAGGTTCGGGGAGTTGGGTCTGCTAAGGAACACCTTGCTCGAATCGTGGGTGTGGATATCTCGAGTGACTTGGAATTGAAAGCAGGGCAGAATATCACACGCAGTACGGAGTATTACTGCCTGCGTAGGTATTCTCGAGAGTTGACACGGACTTTCCCTCAACCTACCTCAAAAGGCAGGTAAGGCAATCTTAGGTAAGCATGAAAAGGTACTTGCAGTCTCAGGTTGCTATTGGGGGCAAGAACAGAGCAGAGAAAAGAGCAGGAGCTCTCTCCTCCAGTCTCTCTCGACTTAGGCAAGAGCCTACGAAGTACCTACCTTACTGCGGTACCGCTAAAAGGACAGACCAGCGACGGGCTCCACTCGTTTTAGTCTCGTCTCCTCCCTCTGCCGCATGCATGGCATTTAGATCACTCTCATTGGGTGCACACCCTGGCGACCCCGGCCAACTCAAGCTCTCCCAGATATTTACAGCTCACGGTACGTACCGACTTCTCATCTCCAGGCATTTCGGGATATTTTCTGCTCCTTGTTGTTCTTGCCAATCCCGGCTGGCCTGGCGCTCGTTCTCATCCCTTTTGATCCATTTTGATTATACATCTCCCCCAGGCGGCCCCCAAAAGTGTGTAATATGCGAGGATGCCGGCCTTGATGGGGATTGGGGAGGGTGCCTCGGGGAGCCTGGAAGGCCTGAGGTAAGGTAAGGCATCAGGCAATTGGAGACCTGAAAGAAATAAATGAAGCTGTTGTGAAATTGGAAATTTGAGCAAGGGGCAGCATGTCCAATCAAGCTGAGGCACGGCATGGCATACGCTATTAACAGGAGGTACCTACGCATAAAGGAGTACAGATATAGCAAAAGGCAAAGTGCAAAGTTTAATGGGCCACGCTCCTGGCCTCAACCTTTTTTTAAATCAAGGTCCACGTGCGTGCCTCTCACCCCACCACGTCTGACGGTCTTGCACTTTGCGGTAAGGTATCGCGTACCTATCCGTACGAGGCACTTACCTACCACTCTGCAAATTGGCCTGCGCCGAGAGTCCATCCGACAACGCGAGTCCATCAGACAAGGTTCCGCCTCTGAGAAGGGCATCCTCGTTCTGCATCACGACAGAAAAATTTTATCCTCAAATCAGATTGATTTACGCTTACCGCCTCATGGTTCGCAGTGGCAACGGGACATGCTTTCAGGCCGCTCTTGAATCTTCTGCTACCTTACTATGGACCAATGGAGTATCCGTAGGTATTGCCCTCTCTCTCTCTCTCTCTCTCTCTCTCTCTCTCTCTCTCTCTCTCTCTCTCTCTCTCACTTTCCCATTCCCGCCCGACCCGATCGGTATCTGCACCCGGATGTCGTCTCTTGCCACAATCCAGATTGCCGGAACCCGCACTTGCTTTACCTTACGTTTGTTACTTTTGTACTTATTCGTCAAGGAAGGTAGGCACCATTGTAAATCACACGCATTGAATGCTCTGTTTCTTCAAGGTTTAATTCTGCCCTGGACAATCAATTTTATTCCTTGACTTCCTCTCTCTCCACACCGGCCCTCAACAGAAGCGGGAGAGGCCATAAACTTCAAGGTACGGACGGATACGGATCTTGATCTCGTTTGGATACTCAACCTATGTTCTTGGCCCCGAGAAATTTGGTCCATATGGGAAAGTCACAAAAGATTCGACCGCGCCCGGCAACGCGTCTCCGCATCCGGCACCCCCAGACGCAGTTAACGAGCGTCTTTTGCTGACAGAATGGAAGAGGGGCCGAGGCAATGGAACAAGTGTTTCAGTCACCACTCCCGAGTAATGACCCTTCCATAGCCCCCAGTCTGATCCTGACCCGCCAACATTTCGAGACGTTGGTTTGTCGACAGACCATCCCTTCGCTGCATCATTGGATAATTGATATTGGATGAAGTTACCGCTTCTGACCAAAAAGAAACAAACAGCGAATGGATTCATTCGCAACATGCGACGCAAATGAAGAATTCTTCACCAACGACTCTGGCTAGCGACTTAACAGCCCTGGCATGAGGCTTTACGGCTCAGCGATGATCGATCTTCTTCTTTTTCTATCTGGCGGTAACGAATCATCAGGCCTCAATCTGAGGCGGGCTAAGAACGAGTGACCGCCATCAATGACGAGCTAAGTGGCATTCAGTCATCCCGAAGCTACAGTTTGAGCAGAATAGACGGATAACCTCTACCCGCCGACTAGGCGTCTATGGCGTGAGTCCGGGCTTCTTTCTTGCCAGTCGACTGTGCAGATCTACCCATCCAGCATCGGCTCGTTTGCCATGTACGGGTTGATCCTCAACTACATACTGCTTCGGTCACCGCTCCGCATCACACCGAGGAATGCAACCCATCTCACGCACGAGTCACAAATGCACACAGGCGAGGCGGAACATGTAAGCTGCACGCGGCCAGAACGTCGGCGATGCTACGGTTACGATGCGCTTGCGAATGCAGATACAACAAGACACAAACCTTCTGTCATTGTTTGACCGGCTTCCCGTCTAGTTGACTTGCCGTCTACCGGCCACGTTCCAACGTCGCAGTGTTCCACCATCCCAGGACTCGGCAACTCAATTGCTCGACAAGCCATAGACCCCCCCCCCCTCAAACCTCCCAAACCACTTTCAAAGAGACGGTTGTCCGGCCCTAATCGTCTGCTGTTACACGGTGCCCAGACTCTCCTCGTGAAGCAATGGGGGTGGGGTATACGAACACCACGGCAATTGACCACATCCAAGTCAGACGCGCAGAATTCGGACCACATAAACCTTATACACGCTTTGGGCACTTTCGTCGCTCCTCGAATTCCAGGATGGCTGCAGCCCCATCCTGGCTCTTGGCCCTTCTCGCCCCAATATGAGGCTGCATCTTCGCCTTGGAAGTTAGAGGTCATCGAGCCCAGCCAAGCTTGTATTTCAGGCTCTGCAGGTCAATGTATGTAATTCGATCCCACATGGCCTGAGGGTGAGGCTATGAGCTACCGTAAGTAAGTACGAGGTTGCACGAGAAGTTCTAACTTGGGCCCCCCCCCCCGAACTTCTCCAATGTCTGATACTCCTCCTCTCAACGTCAGTCTAGCCCCTCGACAAAAGGATTGATAACCGGCTTGAGCTTAATCGTCGACTCCGCACCGGAATTTGTGTCGTAACGGCATTTCATATTTCACGGCAACTCTGCCGTATGACTTTTACAGGCTGTTTTCGTGTCAAGCCCGACCGGATACCTCTCAAGCGTTTGCGGGGGCATCGGCCACTTGCTTTGATGACAGGGGACAACCCTGGTCTCACGCACGCTTTCCTCAGAAAATCGACACTGATTGGGCCCAGTGTGAGAGTCTTCTGAGCGCCTTGTCCAATCGGCTAGCGTCAATGGCCTGGCGGTTCACAGGCCCTTTGGAACAGATATTGGCAGGGAGTACACGTGGGAGAAGGAGGCATCAAGTCTCAACTTCTCTGACCAGTTTGAAGGGTCAGACACACAGACATGGGTCCGTCAACAAACAACCAAACGGTCCGCTCGCCATTAAGCATTTGTGTGATCAATGTTCGCAGACCTTGTTTATATCATGTCGAGCTCGTCGGATCATACCAGCGTGGCCACGGCTACTTCCAGCTATTCCACGTGCGTCGGTGCTCTCGGCCGGCCAGGGCAGTCATTTTGAAGCGCCGTAATCGTATTTGAAGCCGGGGTCGGGGAGGAGCGCCCTGCCATCGAGGCAGCACGACTGAGAAGTGCGATAAGATCTTCAGCCGAGAAAGCCTTACGCCCGAATACTTTTCTGCAGCGACACGGATACTCTCGTCGGAATCCCCTGCCAGATTTTTCTTATCAGCTTCCCGAAAAAGACAAGCTCCGACGCACGTCGACTTCCTTGGATGCCCTGCCTCTCGCCGGCGTAAATCCAGCTTTCATGCCACTGCTCGGCGCTTACTGTGTAGCCGGATGGTCTGTTCTCTTAGCCAGGCACCTCAGGCCGGGATGCAGGACATGCTCCGATGAAGACTTTCAAGGTCCGACTTTGCGACAACGGCCCACTCTTGAGCCGGCAAATCATACAAATCTCTCAACAGTAGTTGAAGGATGAGTTCCGACCGTAGCCAATTTCCATTGGCAACGCGGTCTACGTGTCCGTGCTGACTTAGGGGCAAAGGAAACAGCCGAAGATGAATAATGCCGTTCCTAAGATCGCCATACAACACCTCGGCGACATCGCTAGAAAGACCTGTTTCATAACATCTGGGACCACTATGTCCTCCATGTGTTCAAACAGGGGCAAATTCGGCTTCTGGAAGCTGCATCGAAGTGTTTGCAAGTAGCAACAATGGATGGTCGGTGAGGTGATCGGATAGTGCCCTCAATCGTCTTAGGGTCGTCCCTTTTGAGGCTTCCTGGGTTTGGCCAGTATAGAACATCCGGACTCCGACGGACAACGGGTCTGGTCTTTTCTGGAATATCTTCAGCCAAGCCGGCAAGTTCAGGCGAATGGCCTTCCTGACTTCATCGGCAACGTGTCCCACACGTTGAAAAGTTGAAGAAAGGGTGTGCTGAGCCTTTTCGTGGGTGTCCTGAATGTTTCACGTCATCTCATGAGGAGCCCCCTTTTTCCCTGAGTAATGTTTTTGCCCACATTACGGGACTCTTTTCTGATTTCTGATCGCATTCTGCCGTTGAGGAGTTGGGAAACTTTTTTCTTTCCTCGCAGGGTGATGAGATTGTTCATATCTGGGACGAACGGAGGCTCCATTGCGCATGATTCGCCCTAGAGACTCGCAACGTCGTCCCTTTTCCACAGAAACCTCGGGTTGTGGAGGGTTGGTAAAGCGGCATGAAAAAGGTTATCGTCTTTCGGGTTCGTGAAATGGAAGGGTGTGGTAACATGGCCAACGAGTCGATCAAGCTTCTTTTTTCCCTCGCCACGTGCGTGAGGGGATATTGATACTGGGATGTGTCGTCTTGCGGGTTCGAAACAACGTTTTGGGCTGCTTTTCTCGAAAAGGAACTTGTAAGCCGCCGCCAATGAGCTGAGCTACGGCTTTCTTGTCTCTCTACACCACAAAAGTGTCTGGGGAGGTGTCAGTCTGTTGTTTCTTGAGACTTCGTTGTAGGTGTGAGTCGGAGTTTGACTTGGTAGCTGAGCATCCTGGCTGGGCAGAGGACAATCTGGGACAAGTAACTGCGTAGGTATTCGGGACCGAGCAGCATGTGTTGGAGCGAGCAGAGATGTGGAAAGTCGTCTGGGAGGTTGGCTATTCGGGCTGTTTATACGAAAAATGTCCGTAGTCCGACGCGGCTCGTCAGCGACAGCGGTTCGGCGGGATGCCCAACCGGGTGTGAGGTTGCCCGGGCCATGCGTCCGGCACGCGGCCGAACAAGAAGGCCCCATAATTACGGGCACAATTATACGTGAGCCACGACGTGGCTTGCATCATACGGCATACCAAAGATCCTTTTGTCAAGGGAGAGAGAGAGAGAGGATTTGTGAGGTGTTCATAATGGGTATTTCCAAGCGTGACAAAGCTGGTCATGCTTACTACCCTTACCACTGTCTTTTTTTGAAATGGCAGGATCAAGGGGTTTGTAGTCATCTACCGCGCGGGAGATTTCCTATCACGGGAGAATCAGCAGAGATGAGGTTTGGAAATTTTGAGATTGGTGATGATTACATGAGGAGGGAAGCTGTTTTGCGAGAGAGCCTTGCTTGGTGTTTTTGATTCCGCTTTCTGGGGCTTGCGAGCTCGGTCACGCCAGAGGGTCCAGAGTAAGCCTCCTGCTTCGTGTCTATCTCGGGGAGAACTGGACTTGTGTGATGGCATCATGGGTGAAGGGGCATGGCAGCGCTTGAAGACGCGCCCAGACAGCGTGGCATCGAGGAATTCGATATGCGGGAGGAGTGTCTGGCGGATGTTGAATGCTTTCTTGGGCTCTTGGTGCGAAGGAAGGATAAATATCACGATATCCTCCGTTCTAGACTTCAGGATATCCTTCTCGGAATCATCAGACAGGAATATCCATCACAATCGGTACCAAAGCACAACAAATTCCAACCGAAATTATAGACACGACGTCTTGAATAACATAAGCCACCATGATTGCCGCAAAGCCCATCGTTCTCTATGGCCACAGTACGTTTTCCGAACTTGACATCTTCATCTCATCCCCATGATCCTAGGCCAGATACTAAATGTTCTCATTGCAGGCTACACCCCTAACCCGTCCAAAGTGGTCATGATATTCGAGGAACTCAAGATCCCATACGAACATGTAACGTCTCCCTTTCCTTCGTCGACGTTTACTTGTCGTATTTTCATCCCCTCCTCCCCGTCACGGTATACGCCAACCTCACCCACCACAATCCACACCCCGGACAAAACCCAGCACCTGTCCAAGACACACTTACACACATCTACACTTCGTCTTGCTGACCTGAAGACACTTCTACTCAGATCATCATCGACCTCGCCGTCGTAAAGGAAGAACCCTACATCTCCATCAACCCAAACGGTCGCCTCCCGGCCATCAAAGACCCCAACACGGGCATCACGCTTTGGGAATCGGGCGCCATTGTCGAGTACCTCGTCGAGACGTACGATGACGCAGGCGCGCTGTCCCTCACGTCTCAAGAGGATAGGTTCCTCTTAAAGCAGTGGTTGCATTTTCAGGTGTCTGGCCAGGTGCGCTTTTCTTTCTCTCACACATAAAAGCTTGTACATGTGCTCCAACCGTTTTACTGCTTTGATCCCCCCCCCTCTGACATGTACTATCCATCATTGTTCTTGATAGTGAGACGAATGATTGTTTTTCGGAAAACAAATGGCGACAAATAGCTGACCGTGGTGTTTAGGGCCCGTACTTTGGCCAGCTTGGCTGGTTCAAGCCCTTCCACCCCGAATATGTCCCCAGCGCCAAGGAGAGGTATGAGGAGCAGACCGTCCGCGTCCTCTCGGTCCTCGATCGCGCCCTCAAGGGCAAGAAGTACCTCGTCGGAGACAAAGCGTACGGTTGTTGAGAGAGAGAGAGAGAGAGAGAGACCCACCCGTTCCTGCTCCCCTATCCCACTTCTTCCGCCCCCATCACCCCTTTTTCCATCTGGATCTATCTATGAATAGCAACTCAACTCCCATAACTCTCCACTTTCCCCAGAAAAGAGTCCACTATTCCGATCCATCTAGAGCTCTTCCATGATTCTATACCACATTTGCACGCATTGTAACTGACGACGGGCTGTGCTATGTAGAACCTACGCCGATATCGCCTTCATGCCGTGGGACCAGCTCGCTAGAGTCCTCATCGGCGAGGGGTGGAACGCCAAGTGGGAAGTCGACTCCAAGTATCCCGACTACGCCGCCTGGGCCGAGAGGATCCGCGCCCGGCCTGCGGTCAAGAATGTACTGGAGACCATGGGAAAGCAGCGGGCTGCTGAAGAGGCGCAGGCTAAAGCTCAGGAGTAAGTGGACAGGAGTTGAGCCATACTTGAGCTGGCTACATGGACGTATGCAGTTGTCAAATAGGGAGTCAGATTAGGGAGTCAATAATTATCTTCTCCCCAGCAGAGGAACCCATATGGTATTGTTTGTATATGTGAATATGTGCAAATGAAAACATGGCAGCTTTGGGGAAAACAGTCCACCATCCTTCTTCGGCCTTCCGGCCCGCCTCGCAAGACGACAGGAATATCAGAGACGGTGCCAATAAAAGGGCCGCGAAGCAAACCTAATCCTCCCAGATGGCAACTTTGGCCTTCTCAGCCTCCTCCAGCCGGCGCTTCTCAGCAGCCTTTTCCTCATCCCTGCGTTTCCGCTCCTTTTCCTTGACAGCCTTGTCGTAGGCCCTCTGCTCCTCCGTCATCCGAGGCACCTTTACGCCCAGGGCGCTGGCAATCATGCGCCGGGCCACGGCGTCCGTCTTTTCTGGCCTGGGGCGTGATGAGGCGGCGTCCTGGCCACTACCGCCACCCGAGGACGCACCGGCACCAGCGGCAACGGAGTCGACGCTGGCGTAGGGGTTGGGGAAGGACCTGTCTGCG